ATTTAAATTACTTAAAATTTAACGACTTAAAAATATTTTTTTAAATGTATTAAAATTTTGGTTAATTGTCAAAACTTTACATGTGCCACATAAATTGGGACATGGAGAGTCACACATATTATTTTTTTTAAAAATTACATTAAAAGTATTCTATCAATTAACAACATATATTGTTTGAAATTGACGGAAAAAAAACTATAAATTACAATAATTAACAAAATAAATCTCTCGACTCCAACAAATCTATCAATTAATGCCATATAAATTGGGACATGGCAAATAACATATATTATTAAAAAATTAGGTTCAAAATGTACTATAAAATACAATAATTAACAACTTCATATATTAAAGAGACATATAAAAAAGGGTTAATATTTGAAATTTTGCGTGTGCCACATAAATTAGAACAAACAGAGTAATAAATATTATTTTCAAAATTATGTTAAAAAAAAGTACTACAAATCACAATAGCTAAAAATTTAAAATATTTTTAAAATCATATAGAAATTTCAATAACTTCTCAAATTCCATAATATGACATAAATTAAAATAAAAAAAAAAAAAATATATATATATATATATATATATATATATATTGGGCCCCGTGCTGGCACGGAGTCCTATATCTAGTTTATTATTATAAGTGGCAACATCACAAATGAAAAGTTGAAATACCAAAATGCCCTTGTAAAATTAAATGACTCTATTACCATTTTTAAGGTAAAAAAAATCTGATTTTCCCACTTTTAGTCATCTTTTTCACAAATTCTTTTCATTTGATTTAATAAAAAGTCCAAAAGTCCATGTAACGTGGATAAACATCTTATAAACAGAAGTTCAAAGATCACAATTGATTTCTTTTCCCATTATATTTAATTAATAACTAGATAATTATATAATAGCATATTAAATAGTTGCACCACTCATCAAAATTCGTTCCTATTCTCTTCAACCACATTAATAAACCAAGAAGACATAATTTCTCATTAAACAACAGTATAATGTCATTAGGTAAAAATCTTTTCATTTTCTCTTATTTATGTGTTATATTTAAGAATCCAAAAAGACATAATTTTACATAAAATAATATATTCAAATCAGTTCTAAGTCTTTTCACCTCTCCTAATATCTTCTATTTATATTTAAACTCTATTATCACTATGTATCTAATTGTATGAGCAGTAGAAACTGAACTTCAGTAAGGTGGAGTAGTACTTTCATTGTTCTCTTTCTTTCTTTTTTTTTATGAAAATACTTTTGTTTTATAAAGTCTTGATTTGATGTCTAATTATATAAATGCTGGAATCTGAACTTATTTAGAGGGAGTAATACTTTTATTATCTGTTTATTTATCCTTTGAAAATACTTCTATTTGATTGAACATTTATTTGATGATTTCAAATTTTCTTATATGTAATTCATTTATTTTTTGGTTGGTTCATAAGTATGTATATACACAAATTCAAAGTTATCTTTTCTTTATGCATTTATTTTTTGCACCATATAATTAATGGTTTATATTGTTTTCTTTTTTCTACCATATTGTTAATATCTCACAAGTGATTGTGTTGTATTTCACAATTCAAAATTTAAAGATGACATAATTAATAATTTTGAATGAGTCAAAGAAGACGAAGAGTACATATTCATGTCAATTAAATATTTAAACAATGATTATTTTTATAACAAATAAATTCTAATTTTTTTTAGGTGTACACTATGAACTTGATAGTGATCTACTAACCATCCTAAGGAAGATATATGTTGATCAAATTTCTCTACAACTATTACAAAACACTACTCTCCTTCGATGACAACCTCTCGATATGTATGCATCTGTTAAAAAAAATGGAGGCTACTATTCCTTAAAAAGAAGACGGAAACTTTAAGGCGTTAAATATTTTGCAACTATAGTACCGACATTTAAATTATGTGTTGTGACGTATTAAAAAAAAGTACTCTTAACAAGTTGAATAATTGATTTATTATAAGAATTGTATATTTGAAGTCGTTATAGTATTACATTTGAAATCACTTGATAACAATATTTTTGTATGATGTGCCTTGCAATGATGATAATATCAGTTGAATATAATCACCGTTCATTGATTCGAGCTTGTATTTTACACATCGTACGCTTATATATTAGAAGTGTTTATACTAAATAGCACGATATACACGTGCAACACACGTATTCGAAAACTAGTAATGTATGTGTATAGGATTTACGTAATATGGGGTGGATTTGCAGTTGAGTCATATTGTAGGGGCATTTTGTGTAATTTACTTTTTTATTATTTTAAAATAATTGAAATCTTTAACGTAACTTGTGCCAACTACCATGTTTCATTTAGTTTACGGACGCTACATTCAAAGACTTTCACTAAATATACACACGAAGATATTAAAGGGGTTTAAAATCTAATACATATGTATATAATTTTAAATATATATAAACGGTTTAATTTCCGGATACTACATACAATGATTTTCACTAAATATACATACAAAGATGTCAAAAGAGGTTTAAAATCTACTATATATATAAATAAAAAATAATTTTAATCATATATAAACGGTGTAATTCTTCATTAAAGAGCCTTCGAATGAACCCCTCGACCCTTGCTACCTCCGCCTCTGACTACATTCATTACCAACAAAAATTATAGGTGGTTGGTAAGTATTCTTTTAATCTTTGAGACTTAGTGGGACCAAACGTGAATCTAGATTAGTGGGACGCAAGGTGATAGCGGGACCAAAAAAATGCCAAACTCATTAATTTCTAACAACAGATTTGACAAACTTGATCTTTATGTGACAACCATATGAAATACTTCCTCCATTTTAATTTATTTGTTTAACTTTTTATTTTAATCTATTTCATTTGTATTTTTCTTTTTGACAACTCTTCAGTTTCAACTTTCCACGTGACATGTTTATGACATTGGATCCAACTATTTTTGCAAATATCCCTAAAGCGTATAACGATATTGGATCCAATAGTAATTAACTAATAATGATAAAGACTTTAGCACTCTTTATTTATTATTGCTAAAAACTATTTTTGTTATAGCAATATTACATATCTTTCATTTTGTTCCTCTAATAATAATAATGTATGCACTATCAGATCAGTAAAAAACTTATCCCAATTGCTAATGGTTCCCATCTTTATATAGTTATATATTTAAAAGAATTTTTAATGTAATTATAGGGTTTCGGGAAAAGTTAGTGGTTCCTAGAACCCCACACCTACTACTATAGCTCCGCCCCTGCTTACACTTTTTGCCGTGAAGATTACAGGTTCTTATGTTATAGTAAATATGATTTATATTACACAAGCTTCTTACTTAAATCCCAAAGACACACAACACAAGTACCCATTCTTGTGCGTGTACCATGATTAATTGTACGAGCAATTTGCTACAATTCATGTGATATTTTTTTAAATGTCCCTAACAAATGTGACTCCGTACCCAAGGGACTCAAACCCGAAATCTCTGGGTTAAGGATAAAGAAGTATTTATCACTCTACCATAACCCTTGTTGGTCTGACTCTTCTTTCATTATCCCAACAATACATGAGTTTCTTACACCCCTCTCATACACAGTTTTTAAACATACTCCCTCCGTCCCTATTTAATTCTCTTTTATTTTTGTGCTTTGGCTATTTAATTCACTATTAATTCTACGAAGTTGAATAATTGTAAATCTAATGTCGAGGAGAAGGTGCACGGTGCACACATTAGGTTACTTTTTTTTTTTTTTGGCTAATTCATTATACAATTTAATTAATGATAAACTTTTCACTTTGGGTAAGATTTTCATTATATAAGGGATTTAAATGTTTGATTTTGAAAAATAGGTATAACATTAATAATGTATTTGTATAGGATTTACGTAATATGGGGTGGATTTGCAGTTGAGTCATAATGTAGGGGCATTTAGTGTAATTTACTTTTTTATTATTTTAAAATAATTGAAATCTTTAACGTAACTTGTACCAACTACCATGTTTCATTTAGTTTACGGACGCTACATTCAATGACTTTCACTAAAAGGACGTTTAAAATCTAATATATATGTATATAATTTTAAATATATATAAACAATTTAGTTTCCGGACGCTACATACAATGATTTTCACTAAATATACACACAAGATGTCAAAAGAGGTTTAAAATTTAATATATATATATATAAATTAATCATGTATAAATGATGTAATTTTTCATTAAAGAGCCTTCGAATGAACCCCTCGACCCTTGTTACCTCCGCTTTTAACTACATTCATTACCAACAAAAGTTATAGACGGTTGGTAAGTATTCTTTTAATCTTTGAGACTTAATGGGACCAAAAGTGAATCTAGGTTAGTGGGACGCAAGGTGATAGCGGGACCAAAAAAATGCCAAACTAATTAATTTCTAACAACAGATTTGACAAACTTGATCTTTATGTGACAATCATAAGAAATACTTCCTCCGTTTTAATTTATTTATTTAACTTTTTTATTTTAATCTATTTCATTTGTTTTTTTCTTTTTGATAACTCTTCAGTTTCAACTTTTCACGTGACATGTTTATGACCACAAGATTAAAAGACATCTTGGTACATATACAACACCAAAAATTGTCTTCAACAATAATAGCTTAATTGTCGCTAAATATACTTTTTAGATGTAATTAACACTCTTTGCAAATATCCCTAAAGCGTATAACGATATTGGATCCCACAGTAATTAACTAATAGTGATAAAGACTTAAGCTTTATTAATGTGTATATATATTTATTGCTGCTAAAAACTATTTTTGTTATAGTAATATTACATATCTTTAGTTCAAGTTAAACTACTACATGAGGAAGTATTTCATTTGAAAATATGCATTTATAAGCATGTGTTGTCTTTAACTAACTATTTCCTGAGGAAAAAAAAGTAGTTTTCTTGAAAATAAGAACAACTATGTCTGTTGATGAAGATTCTCAAGCTGAATTAGCAATGCATTATGATCGATCGAAGGAGATAAAGGCTTTTGATGATACAAAAGCCGGTGTTAAGGGACTAGTTGATGCTGGAATTGTGGAAATACCAAGAATGTTCATTAGGCCAATTGATGAACTTGATGAGGAGTTGATTCAGGGGAAGTCAACTCTACAGGTTCCAGTGATAGATCTCAGTGGCTTAGAAGTTGAAGATGTGCGTAAGAAGATTGTCAATGAAATAAGGGAAGCATCAGAGAAGTGGGGCTTTTTCCAACTGATAAATCATGGGATTCCTTCAAGTGTTTTGGAAGGAATGATTGATGGGACTCGTAAATTTCATGAACAGGATGCTGAGTTAAAGAAAGAGTACTATTCGCTTGATAGAACAACGAGAAGAGTTAGATACCACAGCAGAATTCAACTGTCCCAATCAAAGACCGTGAATTGGAGGGATTCGTTGAACATAGATTGGATGGTTTCTGGTCAAATTGAACCTGAAGAAATACCACCAGTTTGCAGGTAATTCTCTATTTTATGCTCTTGAACATCAATTCTCTTTATGTCGTGTTTTTGTTGAAATTTGTTTGGTAACTTCTTGAGTCTGTATTTATGTGTTGCTTGAAGTTTAGTAGAGCTTTGAGAAATCCTGTGTGACAGGTCGTGCTGTTTTCCTTTCCTCCCTTGAGCAAGGAGGTTTCCACGTAAACATTTGTGTTCTTACTTTCAGCTTCCAACTTCAGTAACTTTGGTTACTGGTTTTGTTAAGGGACCTGGTCTCTTGACTCGTGGTGGATACACACAAGCCAACAAGAACAATAACTACAACCATAACAATGTTATACTCGAAGTACAAGAAACAACACTTAGTAACATAAATCGAAGAAAAAGCAACTAGAAGAGTAATACTACGATTACTAGAATAGAGTAAAAGGGTACAATTGTTTGACTTGCTAGATTAGAGTTGCTTGAATCTTTATCAGATTTTGTAGTAATAATCACTGATATTTTCCTGGTGTCTAGGAAAGCATATGTTGAGTACATAAAACATGTCATAAAACTAGGAGAAACTCTTGTCGACTTACTATCCGAAGCTCTTGGTCTAAAACCAGACCACTTGAAAGCCATGGAATGTGCCAAAGGACAAGCAATGGCATGCCACTACTACCCAGCATGCCCACAGCCAGAGCTAACTCTTGGTGTCGATAAGCATACAGATCTTTCTTTCTTCACAATCTTGCTTCAAGATCAAAGTGGTGGACTTCAAATCATGCATAATAACCAATGGGTCGATGTTGAACCGATTGAACAAGGTTTGGTTGTTAACATTGGTGACTTTCTTCAGGTTTGCAACAAAACACATCTTTTTGGTCTCAATTATCTTCAATTTGTTACTTATCTCAGTCTGATTTTGTAACAGATCCTTTCAAATGACAAATTTGTAAGCATAAATCATAGGGTTGTAGCGAAAAAGGTAGGACCAAGGATATCAACAGCATGCTTCTTCACTGGGGTTTCCGAACCTCCAAAGATATATGGTCCAATCAAAGAGCTCATATCAGAAGAAAATCCTCCACTATATAAAGAATTCATTTCTAGTGATTACATCACTAAGTTTTTCTCCAAGCCTCTTGATATTTCCGGTCTGGATCATTTCCGACTCTGAAGAATGACCTGGCGCCATATCGGGAAGCAGCAGCAAAAATCACACATAAACCTTTAGAAAAGCCTATCAGCATTTGATTTGCTGTAAATAATGTGATTTGATTTGCTGTAAAATAAAGCTCATATTCATGATGAAGGGATAAATTTTAAGTACACTTCCTTATTTAATAATCTATGCACTATCATATGTTAAAGATCACAAGATTTCTATATAGCTATCACATGATGATCAGATAAACAACTAGGTAGGAGGAATCAAAGTGCCAGCCTAGATTTGCAATACTATATCAGTCCTGTTCTAGTTGAAATCTGTTTGGTAAAGGTCAGAACTATTGAATTGTAGTAAGACCAGTTGTAGTTTTTTTTTTAAGGCATAATAAATGAGTAGACACTCAAACTTGACCTCAACTAGCAAGTAAGCACTTTAACTTTGAGTATGCACATCTCGACATCTCAACCCGTGTCCACTTTGTCAGTTGAACACTCCAACTTACAAAATGATCATTTAGACACCTTCAAAATTTATGTATCATGTCAGTATCGGGTGTCCACGAGGCATAGAGTTGGACGAGTTAGAGTGTTTAGTTGTTAGTTGAGACCAAGTTTGAGTGTTTGTTTTTGTATTATGCCTTCTTTTTTTATTTTCCTGGCTTTGCAGAAAATCTTATAAGAGAAGCAGAGATGTTGATTTTTATCGGTTTTCTCCAACATAGATCTTCCTGATTTAGGTTTACTGTGTATCTCATGGAGCTTTACAAGTACAGTAGGGTAGAGATGACTAATTCTGGAATCTTTTATCATATTTTGCAACTCAGTAATATCTGATATGTTCCTGGTGTCCAGGAAAACAACCATTGAGTACTTAAACAATGTCACAAAACTAGGAGAAATTCTTTTCAACTTACTATCCGAAGCTCTTGGGCTAAAACCAGACCACTTGAAAGCCATGGAATGTGCCAAAGGACAAGCAATGGCATGCCACTACTACCAAGCCTGCCCACAGCCAGAGCTAACTCTTGGTGCCGATAAGCATACAGATCCTTCCTTCTTCTCAATCTTGCTTCAAGATCAAAATGGTGGCCTTCAAGTTGTGCATAATAACCAATGGGTCGATGTTGAACCGATTGAACATGGTTTGGTTGTTAACATTGTTGACTTTCTTCAGGTTTGCAACAAAACACATCTTTTCAGTCTCATTTATCTTAAATTTTTTAGCACATTGTTACTTATCTCAGTCTGATTATGCATCAGATCCTTTCGAATGACAAGTTTGTAAGCGTAAACCATAGAGTTGTAGCGAATAAGGTAGGACCAAGGATGTCAGTGGCATGCTCATATCAGAAGAAAACCTCCCATTATATAAAGAATTTCTAGTAAGTGATTACATCACCAAGTTTTTCTCCAAGCCACTTGGTAAGTCTGGTCTTGATCTTTTCAGACTGTGAAGAGAGACCGAGCACCACGTCGTCTAGCAGCATCAATGAACATCACTATAATACTTCAGAAAACCTAAAAACATTTATTCAGAACAATGTCCAAGTTTGTTATTTGCTGCACAATAATGTTTTTACCAACTGAACTACTACTGAATTATTTTGGTTATGCTGCTGTTTATTTTCAAAACTTATGCACATTTCATTTGTCTATTCACCACTTCTCTACTAACCTATGTAGATGGGAAATAGTCATCTCCTAGGGTCACATGATCATTTCTACATCGATGTTTATGTCAGGGTAGACGATCTACATCAAATCCCCTCGGAATGCAGCAATGTTTATGTTCTTGGCTTTGCAAAAAATCTGATATGAGAAGCAGAGAAGGTTATTTTTTTCTCTGTTTTTTTTCCAACATGGATCTTCTTCGTGTGTACGTACCTCTTATCGAAGTTGATTGTCACTTTATGCATGAGAAGATTCAAAAACCTTTGATCAACATATTTATAAAGGCTTTAAATCGAACTTGAGTAGAATATCTTTGTAATAAGTTAAGACATGATTAACATCTATGATCGAGATTGATGAGGAGTGACAAAATGAACAACCATTTTCTCATACAATATACATAACACTATTATATGGAGAGAATTTGTAGATATTTCTATAATTTAAAGAACTAACTTTAATACCTCAGCTCAACAGTTTGTCAAATATTAAAATCTCATAAACTTAAAGTATATATAAAAAAAGTCAATATCTTTTAGGTAGGGATGTAGGATCAAAAGTCAATATTGGAACTTCCTTTAAGCCATTCATGATATTAAAAGTGGAGCTTTTTTAAAAATAAAAATAAAAAATGAATTAGTGATCAGATCTTTGCCTTGATTGCAGTTGAAAATTATGGTCTTTTAAATATCCCTATTTGCCCCTCAAAATAGAAAACTGGGGACAAAGAAATACTTTGCCTGCCATATTTGCATTAAATTAATAAATGCATGATATAGTATATGTTTTTTTTCTTTTTATATAGTAATTTTTATCTCTCAACTATATTTAAATTAAACAAAAAAATTCAATTCTTAAATTCAAAAACAAAGTTGAATATGTTATAATGACCACTACATGGTAGGGCTGATGGGACTGCTCCTCCCTCTAGTTCGAACTTTGGGTATGAAAAGTTATTGATAGGGAGCGTTCTCCCAGAATGAAGGTCCACACGATTCAAAATAGTCGAGCATCAATTCGAATTCTCAGACAATGAAAGGAACGAAAAAGAGTCCCAAGGGAACAAATGATGACAAGGAGAAGTCACGTTTTCCTTTCCTTTCTTTGTTAACTAAAAATTTAAGAAAAATTCAAATACTATAAATTTTTTTGACATAATTGAATATTATGCTAAAATGAGAAAATTCCACGACAATGAAAGGAACAAAAAAAAGGACTTTTTCGATCAAATGAATCAATTTCTATTCTCTAATCGTATAAATTTGATCAACTTCTACATAAATTTATGTACATAAAATTATTTAAATAAACAGAAAAAGAAGTTTGTGTATCACTAGAAAATGAGTGATTTGAAAAACATTTTCCAAAACATCTAACCCAATCAAACATGAGAAAATTGGAAAACATTTTCCGAAAAATGTTTTCCTTCATACCAAACACACCCTACATCGATGGGAAACCTATAAAAAGAGAGGATGGGCCTTTAGACTTTAAAAACACGACATCAAAATTGTATTACGGCTAAAGTAATTCAGACTAAACTTTTTTGTTTTAATTTATACGACACATTTCCTTATTTGATACTCCCTCCGTTCCATTTTATATGTCACATTTTTATTTTGCAAGGCATTAAGAAATGATGTAACTTTACCCTTCTACCCTTATTTAATGTTTTCTTAAGTCAACTTTATTAATAAATGACAAGATTAATTAACTATTCTATCAAGGGTATAATAGGCAAAATATGATAATTTATACATAAATTTTATAAAATTACAAGTATTGTGGTCCAAACATTTTATTATGTTGAGTCTCACTTCTTTGGGGGGGAATTCACAAAAATATATTATTTTTAAAGATAATTTTGAAACATTGCAAAAAAAATCATATTTTTAAACTTCACATACCCCCACCCCACCCCCAAAGGAAAAAAATGGTTGGTCGTTGCAAATTCCAACAATTGTCTCAAGGTGTGAAATTAAAGTTGATGTGAACAAAGTCTCTATCTTTTTTAAAAAAAAATTCTTTAATTGGGAAAGTGCCATGTAATAACATTTGACAAAAATGTGGCTTGTGGTTGTACTCTACCCATCAATTTAGAAAATTCTGGTGATTGAATAATCCAGTTTCCAGCTAGTTGTTTTCTCTTCTTTCATCCACCAAATCCCACACCCCACCCCCTCCACAAAACACCTCACCCTTTTCTATCACTTTGTCATCATACCCTTTTCCAAGAATTGGCAAATTCTCATCAATTTTTTGGATTTTAGCATCTGGGGTATCAAAATCTTTGAAGTAACTTGCTGTTCTTGTTTTCTTCTTGCTTAAAAAGGGTGCCTTTTTGGGGCTTTTTCCTTAAAAGGGGTTGTGTAGCAAGTAACTGTGATTTCTTGATTCTTCAGTTTATTGTTGAAAAGTCATAGTAATTGGTTGTTGCTTAATCAAGATTGCAACTTTATGTTTGATTTTACTTCTGAAATGGTTAAAGACAGCTTCTTTGGATAATTTTTTCTTAGTTGGGTGTTGTTTTTTTGTTCTTGTTCAAAAAGGGTACATTCCTTTGGTAATTCTTGAAGGTGGGGTTGTAGCTATACTTCAGTTTTTTGTTGGAAAGTTTCTGTAATTGGTAGTTGATTAATCAAGAATACAATTTGTACTTGATTTTGCTTCAAAAATGGTTAAAGAAAGGTTCTTTGGATAATTTTGCTTTGTTGGGTTTTTGCTTTAAACCTATCAAGAAGGGTAAATAGTTGATTCAGTTTGAGGAGATAGAATGAAGGATTTTGCTGGCACACCTGGTACTTTCACTGGGCTTTTTCTGAGGATGGCTCAGTGCTTTTTTGCTGCTGGTGCAATTGCCTCAATGGTTACCTCTAAAGGTTTCTTCAATGTCACAGCTTTTTGGTACTTCTTCATTTCCTTTTCTCAATTTTGCATTTATTTTTGTTAGTGTGATTTACTGGTATTGATTAACTAATTTGAGGTTTCTGGGATGAATGAAGTTCAAAATTCTAGTTTTATTCTGTTGTTGGGAATAGATTGTGGTATGGCATTTCTCTGTTATCTGATCAATCCTAGTATTTCTTTATTTAGTTGTGAAAATAACATATGCATCCTGAAGAAAATTACTGAACAATGAGTCCTCAAAAGTCTTTTATCATACTTATTGTTGTGCTAGCAACTGTTTGTAATGTTTTCCTACATGAATATGATATTTGGCTTTAGGGTCTAAGCTGAACAAAGAAACATGTGTAATTCGCTAAGTTCTCCTGCGTGGACCTTGTATTTGGTGAGGAATGCATGTTTGGATCAGTATATGAATGTAGATTCAACTAAGTCAATTCTATTTTCTTTTAAATCTTGATGCAGTTCTTGTCATTGTTTTGCTAGTTTGTAAGCTGTGGGAAGAGTGTTTACCTTGATAGTCACTAATCATTGTGATATCCAGCGTAGCAGAAAGAAGTCTAGTGCCAGGAAACATTTGATGAGTTTCAAATGCTTCATTTTCACTAAGGTTTAAAACCTTAGGAAGATCAGTTTCATCCTTGCTATGTATTTCCTCAAGGACAATCAACCATGCCTCATATATGATCAACTAGACCTCGATCCTAAATTTTATCGGGCTACCACTACTCTATTCGTTCTGCTCTATTCAAGGATTAGTTGTAGTTTGATTATATATACAATGAGTGCCAACCTAGCTTTCCTCAGTTGTCCAAGCTTTGGACGGACTATGTTTTTGGACAGCTGACGTATGCAAAATTAACAAAGAATAGAAATAAGAGGCATAACTGAAGCACTCATACACCCCTAATGATTTGCACTCATACATTTGATCTCGGAGAGACGAGTTCTCGGTAGGTCTTTTCTTTAACTTTCTCATCTGAAAATTATTACAAGAGTATCATACATATGGTCTAGGCGTCTAACCATGAAAGTCACTTCCTGAACTAGAAGTCCAAGCGATAATGTACTCATCCAAGCACTCATTTCATGTTTCAATGTTCGAGCTTGTGTGCAATCAAATATTCAATTTACATACCAAAATTATCTCAACTCTCACCCATCTTTTCTGCTCATTTCATTGTTGCTGCAACACTGAAATCTTTCTCTCTATTTATCAGCAAGACAACAGTCTGTGAAGCCAACAAAAATTTCTCGACCTACTGTTTAGCATATCAACCTGGTTTTAATACTATTACGAGCCACTTCTCAAGGATTTACATCTGTCTTAGTCTAAACATAACTCAATGATTCAATATCAAAACCCACACACTTTCATGACTCATGACAAGAAGGCTATATCAGAACTTTCAACAATTTCTCCATTAATTCCTAGGGATGATGCTAGTCTTGACTAACATAACAACAACAATTCAATTTCCTTATCCAAATTCCCAGAAAACAAGATAATAATTGGTTTATATCTCTTTTCTTATGGGTTCAAATGAAAAGGAGTGGCTAACTTTGGATAACAAAGTTATCTCCTCTTAATATAGCTCTTTTGCCATAAGGTTCAGCAAATAACCTTTTTTCTTTTAATTTTGGCATGTTTAATTTGATCCTTATCTGAAAAATATATAAATAGCATTTTCCTGGGCATATCTGTAGCCACAACTGCATTATCTGTTGAAAGAGCATGTGTTTACCTGGATATTCATAAGATTTAACATTGTAATGTTTTACCTGTATCTAACGAGTAAAGGAAAATTGAATTTGTAATTGTATCCTCTGTGTCTTAATCCAGTTTAAAATGTTTGTTGTTTGATCCAACAAGGGAGAGATAGCCAAGTGGAAAGGGTATTACACTTACAACCATGAGGTCGGGGGGTTCAAGTCGCCATGGGGCAAACTAGGTAAAGCCACTCTTGGGCTCCTCAGTAGTGAGTTTTGAGGATGGGGTTCACGGTATCAGGTAGAAAAAAATTGTTCTTTTGATCCAAGTGACTACTATCTATAGAGCCTTATAAATGTCCAAACTGATGCCCAAACTGTTATTAAAGTCTTAGCTGGCCTTTTAAAAATCATTGTATGCCCATGTATATCCAATGAAATGAAATATGCCTTGTCCTTTTCTGGCATAATGTCCTCGGCAGACCTAATCTAAAAGCACTTACAGTATTTGACTTTAGAGATGACTCCCAACGGAGCAGTTTAGTTCTTAATCATGCATGAATTCTAGCTGTCATACTTTCTGATTTTTCTTTCTGACAATGTAGGTCAGAGTATAAGCCCAATTAACTCCTTTGATCTCATTTTCTAAACACCTCCTATTACTCTGATTCCAAATGCTCCAGAAGATAGCAGCAGGGATCATTAACCAGATCCTTTTGATGGTTTCATCTTCTCTCAGCATGCTCCAGTTCATATGTGCGTCTTTTATGGTCTGTGGCATGACCCATTTCAACCCAATAATGTATAAGAACATGTTCCAAAGACCAGAAAGCACCCATACGTGAATAAAGCTTTAAAATTTAGTGAAGGGATAAAAGGTTCTAAAATGCCTTTTTGACACGTATAAGGCTTGACATGGATCATTCAATCGAGTCTTTAGCCTCTACTTCTTTTCAACCAATATTTTTTTTTAGTGAAAACACTATACAAAAAGAGAAGACTAATGGCTATTTTATAACCTCGGGACTCCTTATGTCTTCCAGCAAGTGTTCTCCCTTGAACTATGAACTAGTTTCTCTTCATTTTGCAAGTTATAACATGTTAAAAGACACCAGTGTCTCATGCATGTCTTGCATTCTGTCAACATGTTGAATTGATTGCTCTGTTATTTTCCAAGATTTTATCGTTCTTATAAAACTAAAACATTAAAATTTGATGGCTTTCATATACATGTCTTTATTGCAGCTACTTAATAGCCTCAATGGCTTTGCAAGTCATCTGGAGCTTCGGACTTGCATTTTTTGATGCCTATTTCTTGGCAAAGAAGAAGTCTTTCCACAATCATGTTTTACTGAGCCTCTTCGTAGTTGGAGACTGGGTTAGTCTCTGCTGTATAACAGTATTCTTTAATAGTACACAACAAACATATCATTTACTAATTATCTGTTATCGATCTCTTTGGAATGAATTTACTTGCAGTGTACAGGATTACTATCGCTTGCTGCTGCTGCTTCTTCAGCTGGAGTAACAGTGTTGTACTTTCATGACTTGGGAAGTTGCAGTTTCGGCGAGGAATGCACCAAGTTCCAGTTATCCGTTGCATTTGCTTTCCTGAGTTGGATATCGATTCTTATATCTTCTCTAATTATGTTTTGGATATGGGCTGCCGGTTAGACGACTCAACAGGGTGCTGCATTCATCTGTTGCTGCTGTATTTCGTCATTGTCCAATTTTTGAAGTGTGAATAGGGGAAAAATTAGGAAAAAAAGAGTATTCATTTTGTATACTGATACTACAGAATACTTATTTTTCTTTTATCATCCGTACAGAAGAAACTGTAATCGATCATTTGAAGTTAATTGAGGAAGATTTTTTTTGTCTTACACTTTTACTTAACAATGTTCATGGATCATAGTTATGTTGTTTGGCTTTGTAACTATCTTAGTAGAATCACGAACTTGAATCCATTGAGTTCAATTCAGATTAGTTTGCACGCATCTCAATTAACTTTTTTCATTAAGGGTTGGATAGATTGAAGACTCAGTTTACTGGTTTAGTGCCATAATTGCATAGTGAGTGTGGGAAATTTGTCATTCTCACTGTTATAATGTTATAATTAAGATAGTCTAGTTTTTATAGCATTAATAGTACATTTTTAATCCTAGAATACTTTTTGACTACGCGGACTTAAATGAAACAACATGATAAATGAGGATTCATCTAGTTTACAAACTTGTTTGAAATTGAAATGTAGTTATTGTTGTTGAACAATATATTGATTACCAAGAAGGATATTTGTTGGTGCTAGGAATATTATTGATATTAGCATCAAATACATATCCAATTAGCATCTCTAAAAACAATATTTTTCTCCTTTTGTTTTTTTAGATATGGTTGAGTGTAGCATGGATCACATGTTCTTTTCTATTAAACTTCAAGAATAGTTAGGTACAATCTAAGTTGCACATACTCTTCACTTTCGATTCTGCATTGTTGTAAGATTCTCCAAAAATACACTACTTTTGAAAACTTTGATACATACCTATTGATATTTTTGAAGAGTCAGTAAGGTACTATAACATTCTATTCCTAAAAGACATATACTTGTAATAAGTGAATAATATCTTTCAGTGTTGAGGATGTTGTCAGGTTATGAATAAGAACAAGATACTATGAACAAATATTTTGGTATCTAATCCCATTGTTCTACAGTTGTCTCTATATGAACAGCTTAATGTTGGAGTTTAGTTGAAGTCATAGAAGAACAAAGTATTGATAGCTATGGGGACTAGCATAGGCACTTACAAGAGGTTCAAGCCTCATATCCTTATGGTTTTGGCTCAAATTGCTTACACTTTTTTGTACTTCATAACTGAAGCTTCCTTCAATCATGGAATGAATCCTCATGTCTACATAACTTATCGGCATATCGTTGCCGGTCTTGCTATGCTACCCTTTGCCTATTTTCTTGAAAGGTAAATCACAAAGTCATCTTCAATGCAAAAATATGCAGAAATGCAGTTTTCTTGATGTTTCTGTTGATTTCTGCAGAAAGACAAGGCCAAAGTTAACTATAGCTTTGCTGTTGGAGATCTTTGTACTCTCTCTACTGGGGTAAGATCTATCAAACATCAAATTTTCATATGTTGTTTGATGAGGAATATTAACAGTATATCCTTCATAACAGAATGAGTTTGACACTGAACATGTACTTTGTGAGCTTGAACTACACTTCTCCGACTCTTCTTGCCTCGATGGTCAACACTATAGCTGCCTTAACATTTGTACTAGCAGTTATTCTCAGGTAACACATACAATTCCATCATGAATACAATAAAGAGGATATGACTGCAAGTCTGCAATCACAGCTCATAGATGCTCTTTCTTGGTGTAGGTTGGAAGATGCTAACATTCGAAATCCTAGAGGAATGGCAAAAATCATAGGAACTTTGGTTTCCTTGGCTGGGGTTATGAGCATGACATTATACAAAGGACCTGTTATGAAAAGCTTAGGACATCCTCTCATCTACATCCACAGAGGGAATGGCGTTATCCATGAGAACTGGTTAAAAGGCTCGATCCTCACTGCTGCTAGCTGCATTACGTGGTCAATATGGTACATCATGCAGGTTTTTCACCAAAACTCTTCCTATACAACAATAGCTATCATGAATCATGAAATTGTGTTCTCAACAAAATAAACGTTCAAACATAAGACTTGCATGAATTATGCAGATTCCTCTAGTAATCTATATAGGAACTAACTACTGTTTCTGAGGAGAGATCTCCACACAACACACACAAGCTTACACTGGAATTTTTCAGGCTTACACTTTGAAAAGATATCCAGCACAACTATCGTTGACTACATGGATGAGCTTTGTTGGTGCAGCACAATCAGCTTTCTACACAGTAATTGTAAAACACAAACGAACAGCTTGGACCATGAGTTTCAACATTGATTTCTGGTCTACTCTGTATGGGGTAAGAAGGGTCCAAGTCCAATAGTTTCTCTCTAAAACAATTTAGAACTTGCACCTTTTAATAAGAATCTTTGTAACTGGAATAGGGAATAGTGATATCTGGTTTAGTAGTGTACATACAACTCTGGTGCACTGAACAAAAGGGACCAGTTTTCGTAACTGTGTTCAACCCACTCTCAACCGTACTAGTTGCAGGTCTAGCATATTTCGTCCTTGGTGAAAAGCTCTACACGGGCAGGTAAGCAATCTTACCATCTTGTCCTTCAAACAGGAAGGACAGGAAAATGCAAAACATTTTCCACTTTATGTTGTTCTTTGGGAAAGAAGGGAATCAAATTCATGCACTATAATACCCTCCTTGAACATTTTCAGCATCATTGGAGCAGTAATTGTCATTATTGGACTGTACTTGCTTTTGTGGGGAAAAGAAGATCAACAACCAGAAATGAAAGAGAAAGAGCAATGCTCCACAACTAACGAAGTGCATCACGAAGACCTTAGGATGCAGAAATTCACATCAGATGCAGACAAATTTAGTGCAGAACCTTGATAGTCTCTGCTCCTTTATGTGGTGGGAAACATGATGACTTGCATGCCTAATCTGAAGTAGTATGCTAGAAGTAAAACAATAATAGACATAATTCGAGTATAGTCAAATAGAGATTTACCTGCAACCTGAATGTGTTACGAATAGCAGACATGGATTCATCTGATGAACAAGGTGAAAGAAGAGACACCTCCTAAGAGAGAGATTATTAAGGGTTATATGTTCACCTCCAAAGTACAGAAGAGATTAGACTCTTTTTTTCTTTTATTTTGTTTGGATGTTCAATTAATTATGCAAGATGTGGCAGGTTAAAACAGCAGCCCATATCATTCATATTTCTGTCCAGTCCAGAGAGACTAGACAAATCACACACAATTCAACTAACTAGCATCAAGATGTTCACCAATCCTGACCAGTAAATGGAGCTCTCCCTATGACAAAACAAAATCCTACGCACAGTTAATTAGTTCTAAACGTCACTGAAATACCCCTGGAAATCCTGGGATTGATAATCCCTTGACTGCAGCATCATAAAGAATCCATAAAAGTTCATAAATCAGTAGTACCACATAGTTTGGATACACAAAAACTAGAATGTCTACCTATTGCAAGAGACAAACAAAAATGCAGGAGCTAAACAGGCAAAAGTAGCAGATGTCAATCAAATCCAATTCCATCTAGAGAAATTATCTGCCATACATGTTCCTCCCTCAAATTAAATATCGAGAAAATGAGGAAACCCAAAGGAGGCAGAGATGACTAAGAGAGTAAAAACTAGACTAATATGTTGCCACTATTTACACGAATGGAGGGGGAAATGCCATACATTATCTTGCAAGATTCTCAAGCAGCAGGAGGCCTGAGCATATGATCTTGAGATGTGTCCCGCGAAGATGGCTGTAGATACTGCCACATTGGCACATAACCATAACTAGGGAAAACAGCCATCTTATTTACAGCCGGCTGATATGCTGCTGGATGAGGTGGAATAAAACTTGCTGGAGAAGCCGTAGTTTTCAACTCTTGCTCCATCCTCTCTTTGTCAGCCCTCAGTGCAAGTTTCTCTTCACGAAGTTCATTCTTCTCTTCCTATTTATAAGAAAAGATTTTGTCTGTGAGATTGTACACTGGGCATCAGAGATAGGAATTCAAGAAATCAAGAGTACCAAGCCAAAATTTCTTCTAATTTCCCTTCAAGAGTTAGTACTCAAGACTGCCAGTCACCGTAAATTTTACAAGCTACTTCAGCCTTTCAACAAAATCATTTCTAACCTTCAAAGTCTTAATCTCTTCCATAAGCTTTTGGTTCATCTCTTTGTATTCCTCAGATTCAGTCTTCAGCTGGTTTAGAACACGAATGGCATCACCAAGTATGGCCATTTTGTCTGTTTTTACAGGTCTCCCGGGTTCCAGAACAGAGCATAAGTCTGAAAACCTGTCTCAACAAGATTCAAATAGATTGATTTAGAACACCTAATTTTCATTTGAAGGACATAATATAACTGACACTAAAGTGATTTAAGTGCCACTTAAAAAATGATACTTCTGTTTGTAAGAGCCTCTCTTCTTTCTTCAGTAACAATAATGGCTACCCTACTTACAGAATAATGACCTTTTTTGGATACTCTTAGCTATACCTGGAAGAACTTGTACTAATGACAGCTCCAAGTCTTGTAAGACTTCCCAAGCCAGCAGAGAACAAGACAGCTATAAAATTGCAATGAACTACATCCATGCTTTATCTACATTATCGGTGTTGCTGCGTATGGTAGAAAATAGTAGACAAACCTAATTTTGAATGCAGAGAGAAAACAAGAATTCAGATGAGCATGACAATACCTTTCATTCAATTTTTCCCTTCTTAATCTCTCACGGCAAGCTTTGTTCCCTTGTTTGCTGCAAGACTCATTACGACCTCTGTCAAAAAAAATACTTGGTAAGAGAATTGCGAGTAGAAATCACTTAAGTTTTCATAACCTGATAAACTATAAAGCAGTACTAAAATTTACACAAAAAAATCAAACCAAGGAACCCGCTCCCTCCCATTTCTATAATGAATTGTTCTACAGGTCCATCTTCCACTTTGAAGAGAAGAAATCTCCAGCACATGCATGATTCAGGATAATCAAGTCCATAAAAAGTCAATGCTCACATAAAACTATGCAAGTCTACAAGGGGGTAAAGAGTGCAAAGCAACCAGCTTTTTCTGCTAATTCAGAAATCAAGGAAGCAGCCAATATCCATTTATCTAAAAAGAAAGTAGCTGAATACCCACAATTGAAGATATGACTTTAAGACTTTTTTCTTTAGAAGGTAAATTTTTTTGAAGAAATGATGCATGATAAACTGTGTAATCATCAA